ATATATATATTTTAACAGAGCCCCCTCTGGTTATGCCAACATGCCTACATCTCCTGTGGCTGTTGGAGGACTTCAGAAATAAAGTGCAGCTCCAGGAAAAAAGATACTGAGGTGCTCAATAGCTTCTGCTCTTTATGATTGACTATCAACAGGAAAGGGACAAGCAGTCAAGAAATACGCTGCAGACTGATGCTTGATAGAGCAGCCATGAAGGCCTTGGAAAAGAGATTCAGATGCTGTGATGTGTCTATACCTACAAAGACCAGAATCTTGCAAGCCATGGTATTTCCTGTGACACTCTATGGAAACAAAATTTGGACTTTGAAGAAGTAAGATAAGACTATTGATGCTTTTGAAGTTCAGTGTTGGAGAAGAGTCTTCAGAGTACCATGGACAGTCCAGAAAAAAAACAAATGGATCACTGAACAAATCAACCCAGAGTTCTCTCTCGAGGCACAAACGACCAGGCTCAAATTATCCTACTTGGGATACATTCTGCAAAGACCCAGCTCTCTGGAAGAGGCTCTAAAGCTGAGAAGGTAGAAGGAAAGAGAAGACGACCATTGGCAATGGGGGCACCGTTGGAAGACCTGAAAGACAAGGTTAGAGACAGATTGTTCGGCAGAAAATCTATGTGATTGATAGGAGGCAACAATGACTTGATGGCACATAATTCAACACTCAAACCATGATGAAGCAAACCAAGGTTCAGCATGATATGTGAACCTACTCAGTATTGATGTAAGATCTGTGTTAAGTATTTTAGTAGAAAAATGTTAAGCGGCCTTCCTCTTAGGTATGTCTCAGCAGGTGGCAGCATCTGGCTGATTTGTGTCTGGGTTTGAAGTTAAGCCGGACTGGCCTGGTTAGTAATTGGATGGGAGACCTCTAGTAAATGCCATGGCTATCAGATAGACTGGAAACTTGAAAAGATTGGTTGTACCACGGTTCTATTTTCTACAAGGCCATTGGTGTTCCTCAGTCAACTGAACTTGCTTACTTCCAGAGTGCTTGAAACCCAGGATTTAATCTTCATTAAGGGATTACAGTGTCCACTGGAGACACCTGTGGCCACTAGAGGATGCTGTAGATTCATCAGTCACCCTGAGTCAGATGCAGTGCTGGGGCGCGCAGCCTGCTGTTTCACTGCCCACCTTTCTACATCGCTTAGCATTTGCTCTGCTTTGCATGATCGCTAAAAAGAGATGACACCGTCTTCCGCCATAGTGGTAGGGGAAATGGATGAATACTGGGGCTGGCTGAAGATCTGGAGATGAAGCATCAAATGTGAGTTGGAGCTCCCATAAATGCCTGTACAGCATATGGTAGGGCCAGTTCTGAAAGAGAAGGTTCTGGATTGGTCACCGAAGACTGACCTGGCTTAGTTTTACAACATAGGGGTGTGCACGTGTGTGTGTGTGTGTGAGAGAGAGAGAGAGAACATGTACACATAAGGGAATCCTGGGTATTCTCACAGTGGTAATGGATAGATTACAGCCTTGTGTAATGTACTCACTACCAAGAAGTTGGTTTCAATAAGACACTATATGGATGGATGAGAATCTTGAGTAAACCTTCCTCCACCATGTCTGGATTTAGTGCTTTCCATGAACTTCATCTACAGTAATTATCCTTTGGAAGGATCTCCCCCCACCCAACCCCAAGATTCAGATGGTCCTGACCTTGCTGGCCTCCAGAAGAACTTTAACAAGCTATTGTTAATACCTGGCCCCTTGGTGCTGGGGCCAGGATGAGCAGAGGTCCCATCAAGAGGGTCATATGACTATGAGCCAGGTTGCCTATTAATGATTGATTTTTAATTCAGATTGTTCTTTGCTTGTTGTTTTTTTTTTTAATGATTTTAAGATGCCTAGAGTCCCAGTGTTTGAGTTGGGTGGCCCTATAAATAACATAAAAATTCCCTGCCACCTTGTCCAATCACTATTCTGCCCTGGTGCCCAGGGACATGACATGGAGTAGAATTGCCCAATTAACAGATAAAAATCTTATATCGAAAACAAGTGGACAGTATGCAACCCCCTTTGCTTTTAACGGGGAAGGTACTTTCCACAACCGCCTTGACTCCACTTGATGGTAGTTGGACTTTAACCCCCATAATTCCCAGACAGCCAAGGCCACATTGATTGAGAATGATGAGAATCAACCTCCAAGTAACGTGGAAGGTAGCATGTTGGGGAAGATAGGTCTACAACAGTGCTTGCATAGATGCTATATTTAATCCAGAGCCAGCAAGGACTAGGTGATGTAGTGGGGAACGTGCTGGACTAAGCCCCAGGTTCTAGTTCATCACCTGTTGGCCTCGTGGGGTTAACCAGATAGGAATCACAACCAGATGAACTAATTCTACTTTACAGTAAAGCCACATTGACAGAATTTTGCAAGTGTGAAAGTACATCTCTCCCCCCACCCTGCTTCCTTTACAGCCCAAGAAACTAGGGAGGGTCTCTTCTAAGCCTTTTGCCCCACCCACTATGCAGCTGTGGGCTATGCTCTCTCTTATCTGACCATTCCCTTGGCTCTGTCTCTTGGCCCAGTCTCCCAAGGTCTTTCCCACACACCATCCCACCACCACCCCACCAGCCACAGAGGCTGCCTGGAGGGACTCTGGAACAGTCTCTCAGCCCAACCTACCCCACAGAGCTGCTGGCCTGGGGCTAAAATCAGGGGCGTTCCAGGTGTACGTCTGCTTCCTGAATCTTTTCTCTAAGAATCCAAATGTTCTTTTTGAAACTTGCCGAGGGAGAATGAAGCAAACAAATGCCTATCTTAACAAATTGCCCTCTTGTTGGAAGTCCCCGTAAATAATGACTAAAAGACTCTTGTTTGGCTCAACATGTTGTTAACATTTTGAAAAAGACAAGGGCAGGGGGAAGGCGAGAAAGGGCCGGAGCTGCGGGCTGCTGGGGTCCCTTCACCTGAACACTGTTACAGCAGCCCAAGCACCCCCCACCCCATGACTAATGGGTAGCCTGGAGCATCCTGGCTACTTTTTTCTTGCCACATTCTGTGGAAGTCATACATCCCCCCACAAAAAAAGGGGGTGGGTGGGATTAAATGCAAATAGAAGTTGCAATAATTTCGGGATAGAGGTGGGGCAGTGACACCATTTTCTAGAATCTGGATGCTTTAGCCTTTTCGGTGACTCTTTCAAAATGCAGCCTATCCCCGCTGGTCAGTTCCTTTTGCCCGCAAAGTGCGGGGCGGGGAGAGAAAACTCTTTGCTCCTGCGTAGAAAGACGGCTGGCAATTTCTTCACCGTTTCCTCTTCTCCCGGGAAGGTAACTCTCCTCCTTTAAGCCTCGCTGAGAGCCGTCGCCCTGGGCAGGCTGGCCACGAGCCAAGGGCTGCCCCGGAGCCACGGGCGTGCGCAGCAGGTGGGCTGCGAGAAGCGCGCCC